ACAGAAAATGAGATATATTAGGCTCAAAGTGGACGATCCGGGTGTCGTTCTATTAGAGGTTTTACGGTATTTTTTTTCATTTTAATTCCTAAAACTCCCTTTTTCACAATTCAAATTAATTGTTTTAATTTTAATTTTTTGTGAAAATCAAACCTACTTGATTCATAATTTTTAGCAAAAAATACAAATTGTGCAAAAAATTATTTTGAGCTCACAGAAAACGCTCTATTTTTGCACAAAGAACGAAAAATAAAGAGGTCAGTAAGACAGAAAATATTGGAGTGTCAAGTACTCTTTAGCAGGCAGAAAAGGTACTTGAAAATGACACAAAATGAAACAAAAATATTGGAAAAAATTGGAAAGAATCCCAGAAAAATTCTAGAAAGAAAATCCTTGAAAATTCAATTTTCCTCTTTTTTTTGTGTCTATTTGGACCCCATTTTTTGACTCCAAATGAGCTCTCCCCAAACAGTTTGTAGTTGTGTCTGCGTCTTTTTTAGTTGATGTACTATTTCTTTTTTCTTTTCGAAAAAGAAAAATGATAAATCGAAAAAGGAAGGATAATCTTTTGGGGACGGGGAAAGAGCCCGAAGGCAGAATACAAAATGTTTCGAATGGGAGAAAAGACAACTAGGATTAGCAGAATGTGTAGTTTTTGCTTTTGACTTTACGAAAATTCAGAAATTCAGAAAATTAGAAAATTCAGAAATTCAGAAAACTAGAAAATTCAGACATTCAAAAAATCAGACATTCAAAAAATCAGAAATTCAAAAATTCAGAAATTCAGAAATTCAGAAATTCAGAAATTCAGAAATTCAAAAATTCAGAAATTCAGAAATTCAGAAATTCAGAAATTCAAAAATTCAAAAATTCAGAAATTCAGAAATTCAGAAATTCAGAAATTCAGAAATTCAAAAATTCAAAAATTCAGAAATTCAAAAATTCAGAAATTCAGAAATTCAAAAATTCAAAAACTCAGAAATTTAGAAATTCAAAAATTCAAAAATTCAGAAATTCAGAAATTCAGAAAATTTGAAATTCCCGGTTAAAAAAAAGTATCATAACTTGGGTAAGTCAGAAATTCAGAAACCCAGAATTTTAATATGAAATATTTTTGAATTTTCGAAATTTTAGAATTTTCTGAGTCCGTTTTTTTCTAAATTTGAGAAGTTCTGAAATTTGAAAAATCGAAAAGTCTTAAACTTGAATAAACGGAATTTCCGAAATTGTGAATATAGAAAATTTGAAAGTTTGATAATTCCAGAAGATTCCAGATTCCAATTTGAATTTTGAAATTCTGAAATTTTTAAGGTTAAAAAAATCAAGAACCAAAAAAAAACTATAAAACAAACTCCAAACTTTCAGAAAAAAAACTTGAAGAAAACCATGAAATTCAATATACGACATTCCAGACAAATCGAAAAATTGAAAACTCTAGAAAATAAAATAGGATATTCCAAAAATTTTGAAAATTTCCAAAATTCTGAAAATTCAGAAATCTTTTGAAAATTCGCAAATTGACAAAAACTCTTAAATTTTAAAAATTGGAAATCCCGCAAATACAAGGAAATTCACATACTTCATACTTAAAAAACCGGAATTCCATGAAAAAAAATCGAAAAAAAAACTATAAATTCCAGGAAACCCTTTAAAAAAAAATGAAATCCAAAATTACGAAGTTTCAGGGAATTTGGAAACTCTGGGATGTTTCGGAAATTACAAAAAACTTTTTTTTTTAATTGCAGAAAACTGAATCCTTACCATTATTCGAAACTCTTTCCATCTTCTAGCAAGCATAAATAATACTATTCTTTTCGTGAGAATTTGAAACTTTTTTAGTAACGGAAAAGGTAGGAGAGCTTAGAAGGTCCAGTTGGCTACTTTTTTTTTCTTCCAAAAAAATCCAAAATTGAGTCTCCTGTGTATTTCTGACAGGAAAGGGGAAAACGATGAAAAAGTGGGGGAGGAAGAAAAAGAGAAAAATGAAAAAATAGAGAAGAATATGATGAAATAGACAAATAGACAAAAGAATAGAAAAAGGAAAGCAAAAAGAAGAAGGATAAATGAGGAAAAAGGATATAATATATTCTGTGAGTCTGGAGTTTGTAGTTATGGGGACATGTTGCTAGGCAGAAGTGGTGAAAGAATATCAGGATTTCAGAATCTTTGTTTTTTTCGGAATATTGGACTGAATTTCTGAATTTCTGAAATCTAAGAAGTACCAGAAGAAACTCTGAATTTTCGAGTTTTTGAATTACTGAGTTTTGAACTTTCTAGATTCTCATAAATCTATAAACTTTCGAGTTTTTGAGTTTTTGAAATACTGAGTTTTTCATTTTTGGTAATTCGGAATGACAGAATTTTCTCGAAAATATGAATTGTTCAGAATTTCGAGAACATTCGAACTTTAAAATTTTTGTGGGTTTCTGGAATCTCTTGAAATTTCGAGAAATTAAAACTTCTGAAATTTCTAGAAAATGTTGTTTTCTTATAAATATTTTTTATATGAGTTGCGTCATTTTACAGAAATTTCTGAATTTTTGAATTTCTGATTTACTGAATTTCTGAATTTCTGAATTTTTGAATTTTTGAATTTCTGAATTTCTGAATTTCTGAATTTCTGAATTTCTGAATTTCTGAATTTCTGAATTTCTGAATTTTTGAATTTCTGAATTTCTGAATTTCTGAATTTCTGAATTTCTGAATTTCTGAATTTCTTAATTTCTGAATTTCTGAATTTCTGAATTTCTGAATTTCTGAATTTCTGAATTTCTGAATTGCTAAATTTCTAAATTTCTGATTTTCTGAATTTCTGAATTTCTGAATTTCTGAATTTCTAAATTTCTGAATTTCTGAATTTCTGAATTTCTGAATTTCTGAATTTCTGAATTTCTGAATTTCTGAATTTCTGAATTTCTAAATTTCTGATTTTCTGAATTTCTGAATTTCTGAATTTCTGAATTTCTGAATTTTCTAATTTTCTGAATTTCTGAATTTTCGTAAAGTCAAAAGCAAAAACTACACATTCTGCTAATCCTAGTTGTCTTTTCTCCCATTCGAAACATTTTGTATTCTGCCTGAATTTCTGAATTTCTGAATTTCTGAATTTCTGAATTTCTGAACTTTTGAAATTTCAGATTTTTTGAAATGATTTTTTCTCAAAACTCACCCTCTTATTAGCTGCATAATAGGACGCCAAAAATACTCGCCTCGCTCTCAGGCTCACCATTTAGGCGCCAAATTTTTCTCAAATTTCAGAGAAAAACTTTTTTTAGTAATAAAAAATAAAAGTTATCACAGATAACTTATCAGTAAAGGCAAAATAACGAAGGTGCAGTCGAGAGAGGGGGATGAATATTCTTTTCTCTGCTTATTCCCTGTTCCTGATTGTCTGCGTCTCTTCTCCAAAATCGATCTCTCTCATTTACCTGAGAAAATGAGAAGAAGAGAGTCTAAACAAATATTATGTTTCTCTTAAGTTTTGATTACCCAACGGAGTGTTCGAGAAAACTTAAACTTGGCGTAGGGAGCATCTTACTATTAGCATACAGAACAAAATGTGGGGCGGAGCTTCGAAAATTAGGGTTTTTCTATGGAAAACACGCAAAATAGAGTCATTAGAAATGGATGGGAAGTGACAAAAAGAGGAAAAAGAGTGCTAATTGGATAGTAATTAGTTTTGGCGGAAGAAAATTCACTTCCGCTGAAACTATAAAATTCAAAAGTGTTAGAAATGTTTGAAAAGTTAAAACCTGTAGCTAGCACGGTTGCTGTAAAAGATATCAAAAAGCTGTCATCTGATAAAACGTT